ATTGAGAGCAGCAGGTAAAGACCAGGCTTTTTCACAAAGAACATCTCATCAGCTGATAAAGGCTCTGAGCTCAAAACTGGTAGGGAGCAATGAAGAGGATTGATGAAGGCGGAATGATGGATGTGACCTATATGAACTTCAATAAGGCATTCAACAAGGTTCCTCATGGTAGACTCGTTAGCATGGTTAGATCACATGGAATACAGGGAGAACTAGCCGTTTGGATACAGAACTGGCTTGAAGATAGAAGACAGAGGGTAGTGGTGGAGGGTTGCTTTTCAGACTGGAGGCTTGTGACCAGCAGCGTGCCACAAGGATCAGTGCTGGGTCCACTGCTTTTCCTCATTTATTTGAAAGATTTGGATGTGAAGAAAGGATGCATGGTTAGTAAGTTTACAGATGAGACCAAAATTGGTGGTGTAGGGGACAGCGAAGAAGGTTACCTCAGAGTACAATGGGACCTTGATCAGATGGGCCGATGGGCTGAGGAGTGGCAGATGGAGTTTAATTTAGATAAATGTGAGGTGCTGCATTTTGGAAAGGCAAATCACAGCAGGATTTATATACTTAATGGCAAGATCCTGGAGAGTGTTGCTGAACAAAGAGACCTTGGAGTACAGATTCATAGTTCCTTGAAAGTGGGGTCACAGGTGGATAGAATAGTGAAGGTGGTGTTTGGGACACTTGTCTTTATTGGTCAGTGCATTGTGTATAGGAGTTGGGAGGTCATGTTGCAACTGTACAGGACATTGGTTAGGCCACTATTGGAATACGGCATTCAATTCTCGTCTCCCTGCTACAGGAAGGATGTTGTGAAACTTGAAAGGGTTCAGAAAAGATTTACAGGATTGAAGGGTTTGAACTATAGGGAGAGGCTGAATAGACCGAGGTTATATTCCCTGGAGTGTCGGAGGCTAAGGGGTGACCTTATAGAAGTTCATAAAATGATGAGGGGCATGGATAAGGTGAATAGACAAGGTCTTTTCCCTTGGGTGGTAGAATCTGAAACTAGAGGGCACTGGTTGAAGGTGAGAGGGGAAAGATTTAAAAGGGACCCAAGGGGCAACTTTTTCTCACAGAGGGTGGTGCATGTATGGAATGAACATCCAGAGGAAGTGGTGGAGGCTGGTACAGTTACAATATTTAAAAGGCATCTGGGTGGGTATATGAGTAGGAAGGGTTTAGAGGGATATGGACCAAATGGGTCAAGATTTATTAAGGATATCTGGTCAGCATCAACGAGTTGAACCAAAGGGTGTGTTTCCGTGCTGTACATCTCTATGACTCTAATTTCATCACTACTTTACACAAGATACATGAGTCAACAAATGTAAACATTCTTAACATGAACTCACCGCTGTAGCAAGACTGACTGCGTCCAATTCAATTTTTCCTAAATGTCCACAGAATGCAGAGCTGACAATACTTATTAAGAGTGTCATCAGCTCTGTCAGACACTGTCAAAGGAAAATGAATTAGAAATAATATATGCTGACCACTTCCTTTGAACAATTTATTTTATACTGTTACTCTAGTTAAACTGAGTTTGAAACAATTATCCTTTCCTCTTCAAAGAGCTGATAGAATTTAAGTTGATATCAGTGAGATCTTCAAGGTTACAAAGGGAAATGGAAATGTTTACTCAGGCAACTCATTCACTGATGACAGGTTTAAACAACAGGATTCCCAAAGAATAAGTAATTGTTTTTGAATCAAGGTGAAGGCTTTCGGCCGGAAGGTAGGGACTTGTGGACTGTGTTCGCTGTGGATTTTCTCAAATAAAGGAATCGCTGGAAATGGAATCAGAAACAGGAATTTTATAATTATGCTCAGCAAGGGTGATTGAATCAATCAGAGCTAACTGAAAGAGATTATATAATTGGGCACAGTAATGTGAGCTGTATTAGTGAATTCATTGAAGGAGATGATATAAATTGCATTTATCTACAATTCAGTATGTTTTAGGTGAGAGCAGTGTATGAACAATGTCAAACTGGGGGCTTGTGGTGCGATGATCATGTCCCTACCTCTGGACCAGGAAGCCTGGGTTGAAGTCCCACATGCTCCAGAAGTGTGTGACAGCAAGCCTAAACAGACTGTTCAGAAAAGAATCAGAGATAGTAGGAACTGCAGATGCTGGCAATTGGTTTTGTCCACCATTTGATTTGTTTCAGAAGAGGCCAGAGTAGGAACGACATAAAATTGGGGTCTTGCAGCTCAGTGGTAGTGTCCCTACTTCTGAGCCAGAAGGTCTGTGTTCAATCCCCACCTGTCCCAAAGATGTGCTGTAATATGTCTGAGAAGGTTGATTAAAAATAACTATGAATGATATAATAAGATGTTATTGAGTGTCAACTCACCACTGGCCCAGCCAGTCTTGATATAAGTTTCGCTTCTTGCCAAAAGTTGCTGGGTATCCATCCCCTTATTTTCCTCAGAAACAGATTATCAAATCTTCTACTTGACAGGGGAACATTGCCAGAGCTTAGCTGCACTGAATTCTCCATTTTTCTGATCCTCCATTACAAAGGAGAAACAAAGCAGTTGTTTTACTTCTCTTGTTTATAAAGTTCCATCTCCGCACTCCCATCCCATTAACATTCTCAGCATGTTATCCCTATCCATTGGGTCCCACCACCAATCCATTCCCATTCCCTCGCTACCCATCTCCACTTCCGCTTCTGATGTAGTGTCCTTTATTTATTCTGATGTGGTATCTGGTCATCACCTTAAACCTATTGCTCCACCAGGTCTTCTGATCACGATTAATTTTTAGCAATTGCTTTTTTTTCAGAGCTGCAGGAGTTAGATCATCTATAGTTAGGGTTGAAAGCTTTGGCAAGATTTCTGCATGTAAATTATCAACAGTTAATTACTTTGGCTCTGAAAACTTCTGTCAAAAGTTTTGTGAATGAGTGACACTTTAATATTACTGTTGCCTGGTGACCACTTTGATCTGGACACTAGTTGAAGTATGAGCTCAGTGCCCTTTGTAACATGTGACCTACACTGGGAACTTGCACTCCCCATCATGCGTCAGCACTCATTGGAAGGAGCACTTTGAGGATTTCCTCAACCAGGACCCCGTCCTCAACAAGAGCAGAGAGCAGATACAATCTCCAACACAAGACTATTTTGGACCTCACAAATGTCTTCAACTCTATCAACTAAGAGAGACAGAGGATTGTCCCCCTCAACTTAGCTGCCTATTCATCATCATCCTCCACTTGCTACATGATGGCATGCAAGCTGTGATCCTTGCCAGCAGATCCATCACAGACCTAACGCGTGTGCAAGCTGATCTATGTACACACTCAGAGACTGACATCCAAACTACTATCAGTGCATTCACAGAGGCACTTTGCACATTAAGATAACATGGGGTCACTTGAAATAAGAACAGTAGAGCACTTGAAAATCAGAAACAGAATTAAAACCTTATTGTTCCAAAAAAGGCATGGAAATTCTGTGTAGAGGAGAGACAATTATTGCATATGACCTACATAGAAAGAAAGAAGCCTTGGAATACATAGAATAAACATCTGAAAGAGAAAGGTTGTCTTCAGACATTTCCCATTATACAACATTGCCCTCACAGAGGGCCATTGGACTATGTAGATCAATTTCCATTTCTTTTGGAGCCTTCTCTTGGTTAAGGCAGATATCGACAATGAAATTCACCATTACCTCCATTGGCCAGCGTAACCTTCAGCTGACTGAAGAATACAGTGTTTAATTACAAAGACCTCAAAACCCAACACCAAGCCCTGGGTCTGCAGGGCAGCAGTGCATGTACTGGAGGCAAACAAGCAAAATGTTGGGGAAACTCAGCAATGAGGAGTGAGAAACAGAGTTAACATTTCGGGCCTGCTATGGCTCTTCTTTAGAACTTGCATCAGAGGCGTGGACGCATGCAGCAGAGAGTTGACAAATATCATCAGTGATGCCTCCGCAAAATCCTGCAAATCCAAAAGCAGGATAGACGTCCCAATGTGTGGTGGTCTCTTGGCAGCCTGGCATGGCCTCAGTGTAGACTTTAGTCTCCAGATGATTCCAGAGCAGTCTCCCAGCCTTGAGGTGAAGCCCAGCATGGTCTGGAGTTAAGGTGCGATGTGAACTGGAGGCTAGGTGCTGGCGTGGACTGGGTTGGAAGGACTGTTATTCTGAACTTCTTATTTCTTTATTTTTCTAATTTATCCCTATGATCTGATGAATAGGTTGATGAGGAGATCTCCACATCCTCATCAAAACTCCACCTTAAAAATAATATTACTCCAGAGCTTCCCCAGCTTCAGTTTCAGTGTGGGCTGGTTGTACAGATCTGCTGGGGGGGGGGGCCTCAATTAACGAAGGTTCACTAAACATTTCTTTTGAATTATCCACAACTTTCAAGAAATTTTTGACGACCCTAATGGCTGCTTGTGGTATTACTTTGGCTCCTGATGATGGATTTTGTTTAGCCATTGCTCTGGTCACTACGCACAGAGGAAAAATACCTGGAACGGTTTCCTGTAACTGTTACACCACTTTCGCCTCACTCATGCTTTCTGTATGGATGAAGCTATAGCTTTTGGGCTCCTGCCAAATCATTAAGTCAGAATACATCAACGCCATCTACGGGTAGCTTCCAAACAACTCCTACTGTCACCGTTCCTGACATTAAATCATATTGTTAATGCATTTTGTACAAGTATATTTGGGAATATACTCCCTGCTACTTCCGTTTAGCAAATCTTTTGCTTTCAGAGCAATTTCTGGAAGAAAAGTTATGTCCTCCTCCAGCAAGAGTTTGAGTAGAGATAGTAGGAACTTCCGATGCTGGAGAATCGGAGATAACAAGGTGTAGAGCTGGATGAACACAGCAGGCCAAGCAGCATCATAGGAGCAGGAAGGCTGACGTTTCGGGCCTAGACCCTTCATCAGAAATGGGGGAGGGGAAGGGGGTTCTGAAATAAATAGGGAGAGAGGGGGAGGCGGATAGAAGATGGATGGAGGAGAAGATAGGTGGAGAGGAAACAGACAGATCAAAGAGGCAGGGATGGAGCCAGTAAAGGTGAGTGTAGGTGGGGAGGTAGGGAGGGGATAGGTCAGTCCAGGGAGGACAGACAGGTCAAGGGGGCGGGATGACGTTAGTAGGTAGGAGATGGGAGGAGGGGGGGATAGGTGGGAGGAAGAACAGGTTAGGGAGGTGGGGACGAGCTGGGCTGGTTTTGGGATGCGGCAGGGGGAGGGGAGATTTTGAAGCTTGTGAAATCCACATTGATACCATTGGGCTGCAGGGTTCCCAAGCGGAATATGAGTTGCTGTTCCTGCAACCTTCGGGTGGCATCGTTGTGGCACTGCAGGAGGCCCAGGATGGACATGTCATCTGAGGAATGGGAGGGGGAGTTGAAATGGTTCGCGACTGGGAGGTGCAGTTGTTTATTGCGAACCGAGCATAGGTGTTCTGCAAAACAGGCCCCAAGCCTCCGCTTGGTTTCCCCGATGTAGAGGAGGCCACAATGGGTACAGCGGATGCAGTATACCACATTAGCAGATGTGCAGTTGAACATCTGCTTGATGTGGAAAGTCTTCTTGGGGCCTGGGATGGGGGTGAGGGAGGATGTGTGGGGGCAGGTGTAGCACTTCCTGCGGTTGCAGGGAAAAGTGCTGGGTGTGGTGGAGCTGGAGGGGAGTGTGGAGCGGACAAGGGAGTCACGGAGAGAGTTGTCCCTCCGGAAAGCAGATAAGGGTGGGGAGGGAAAGATGTCTTTGGTGGTGGGGTCGGATTGCAGATGGCGGAAGTGTCGGAGGATGATGCGTTGGATCCGGAGGTTGGTGGGGTGGTACGTGAGGACGAGGGGGATTCTTTTTTGGTTGTTATTGCGGAGACGGGGTGTGAGGGATGAGTTGCGGGAGATGTGGGAGACACGGTGGAGAGCGTTCTCGACCACTGAAGAGGGTGGAAGTTGCGGTCCTTGAAAAACGAGGACATCTGAGATGTACGGGAGTGGAATGCCTCATCCTGGGAGCAGATGCGGCGGAGGCGAAGGAATTGGGAATGGGGATGGTATTTTTGCAGGAAGGTGGGTGGGAGGAGGTGTATTCTAGGTAGCTGTGGGAGTCGGTGGGCTTGAAATGGATATCGGTTTCTAGGTGGTTGCCCGAGATGGAGACAGAGGGGTCCAGGAAGCGGAGAGAGGTATTAGAGATGGTCCAGGTAAACTTAAGGTTGGGGTGGAAGGTGTTGGTGAAGTGGATGAACTGTTCGAGCTCCTCGTGGGAGCACGAGGCGGTGCCGATACAGTCATCAATGTAACGGAGGAAGAGGTGGGGTTGAAGTCCAGTGTAGGTACGCCTCTCCACCCCTCTCACCCACTCCAACCTCTCCCCCGCAGAACGTGCAGCCCTCTGCTCCCTCCGCTCCAATCCCAACCTCACCATAAAACCCGCGGACAAGGGAGGCGCAGTTGTAGTATGGCGCACTAATCTCTACATCACTGAGGCCAGGAGCCAACTCTCCAACACCTCCTCCTACTGCGCCCTTGATCATGACCCCACCCCCGAACACCAAACCATCATCTCCCAAACCATCCACAACCTCATCACCTCAGGTGACCTCCCACCCACGGTCTCCAACCTCATCGTTCCCCAACCCCGCACCGCCCGCTTCTATCTCCTTCCCAAAATCCACAAACCTGAATGCCCTGGTCGACCCATGGTCTCCGCCTGCTCCTGCCCCACCGAACTGATCTCCAACTATCTGGACTCCATTTTCTCCCCCTTGGTCCAGGAACT